TCACCATCAACCACGGCACTGCCGGCCGGCCTATCAGCCTCCTCATTGCCTTTCACTCCAGAGTGCCCAGGACAGAATATCCACGTGATGGCTCTGGACAGAATATCCACGTGAAGAAAACTCTGGTTAGCCCCGACTGAATTCGAACTAATTGAATTTTTCAACTGAATTTGATTGACAGCGTGCACTGGGTATTAATGAAAACCCTAGAGACTAACTATAAAACTAAAAAATGTTAAATCTAGGCAGATGGCTCCGGACGATTTAAACTGTCCTTTTGTTCATGTATGTTTTATACAAGGAAGCTATCGAGCTGTGATCTGATGTCATTACCCCCCCACCCCCCCACCCAAAAAAAAAATGGAATCCGGTGTCGTTTTCTTGGCAACTAGACAGGCATATCTGCTGTACCTTATCACTGCAGATAAAGAAACAGTGATGATGTGAGAACTAAAGAAAGATTTAAATGATTCTCGCTCCTTTTGACACAATTTTTTATTTTAAAGGATATTGGTTACTTCAACCCGTTTTCCCGAATAAATGGGCGCTATTTTGAACTCAAGATTTTCAGACTTCCGGGAGTTTTTGTCACAACTGTCAAGGTGATTGAATTTTTTTTTACCCCACCAGTATTTATCTTTGTCGAGATAACAACAAATACAACTGATAACAACAAATAACAACTGACTACCTTAAAAACCAAGTAAAAGTAACTAAATTAGGACGTTTGTGTAGATATTTGTCATTATTTTATTGCTATCGGTTGTTATTAGTTGTCATTTGTTATTATCAGTTGTTATTTGTTGTTATCTCAACAAAGATAAAGACCGAAATCGAAAGTAACAATTTAACGAGAAAAAAACCGAAATTAGGACGCTTGTGTTGATATTTGTTGCTATTTTGTTGTTGTTCGTTGTTATTTGCTGCTTATTTGTTGTAATCAGTTATAATGTTACCTGTTGTTATAAGTTGTTACTTGCTGTTATTTCGACAAAGATAAATACCCTGTGAAGTGCCTTTCCCAAGGACCCAACGTCGGGCCCGCGGCTCGAAACCCCGAACCCGCAATCTCACGATTACGAGTCTGGTAGCCTAACCACGCCTCAAAACAAAGAAACCGACATTTTTCTTTTTGGACCATGCAAAACATTCATGAAGGGCACAAGAAATGTGAATTTGCAGTTTCCAAGGACATTCAAACTATGTAAGTCACCAATATCTTTGGTGGCCTTTTTCTCAGACATGTTACCGTCAGTATAATATTATTTCTCCTTTCACCTCCTTTCCTGCTGTCTATCAATGTTCTGTCGTCTGCATTCGTCTCTACTTTCTGCCCCCTCCCTTGCCCCCTCCCTTGCCCCCTCCCTTGCCCCTTTCTCTGGGCTCTCGACTCTTTCTGCAGCCTTTCTACTGCTACTACTTGACTCCCTCTTACTGCTGTCTTCGAGCAACACCCTTGATCTTAGGGTAGGCGGGTAGGTAAGATCTAAAACGTGGCCTTCTTGATATGGGCGAAACATCCCGGAAGTCCCGTGTGCAAGTTGCGCACGTTAAAGATTCCCTGGAGGTCCAAAAATCGATAAGGGTAGGCTTCGACCGCCACCCGGGCAAAACTTCAACATTAATTCCTACTAAACTGCAAATATTTAAATGTGTCTCGCGCACTCATAAGACCTATGCTGTTGCGAGCACCGTAAAACACTTAACAAAACATAAGACTGCTGCCAACAGATACACTAGTTATCTGAGTACTCACTCTCTTTTGAGTATGCACGCCAGATATTTATAAAGAAAAAATACCCTTGTTAGTTGGGCAGCTGATTATTTAATTTTTAAAATTTTGTATTTAATATTTTTTTTAAAATCCTGATCCACTAGATCTAGATCTATCACTGAGTTGGTAATTACGACGATGCATAGGCCTATAATGGCCTTGTGTCAAATCCCTACAGGACATTCTTGACTTTTGAACAGGTTTCCTTGATATATATATGATATATATATATATATAGTGTTGAAAGGTACATTAAACCCATACCACTTTTTCTGACACTTTTAGGGTCTGCTAGAGGGGGGAGGGGGATAATGAATCAAAGTTGAGGAGCGCATATATAGAGTGTAGAACATATTGTTGAGCTTGAATATGCGCTACTTATTTTAGAAGGCCTATTACTATTATTATTATCATTATTATTATTATTATTATTATTATTATCATCATCATCATCATCATCATATGCATTATAAAAGGCTTCATTTTGCCACTGCTCTGTCAACTGCTTTCTTCGTTGGTGCCTTAATTAAGGAAGTTGAAGTCCATGGCTTCATAGGCTGGCCTAAAGGATTGTATACACATGTTTATATTGAGGTATGACAATAAGTTTGGCACAAGCTGTAGGCCTAGTACATTTTCGGATTGTATACACATGTATAGCTATAGACATCATAATATATGTATCACGATGCAATGGAATTAAGCGTTCATAAATTTTTGAGCTCTTGGAGTTAATGGTATCACCTTAAAGCTTTTTCATTTGTCTTGCTATTAATGAAAAAATATCCATTTATCTTTGATACAAGTTGAGATGTGTGCGATTCATGGAGGTGGGGGTCGCCAGGTCTCAGAGGTAAAATTAGCGAGAAAATGGCCACCAAAGTTAAGTTTATTTCCTTTTATTTGAGAGTCCACGGAAACAGAAAATGTACATTTTTGTATGCCTTTAATTGACGTTTTTCAGTGCAATCCACACAGAAATGTGTTCTTTAATGGACATGATGGAAGGTGCTGAGCCAAAAAAAAAAAATCTATAAAAATTCCCAAACCTAAGGAAAAAGACCAGTTTCTCAACTTTCATTATTTTGACGAGCGCCTGATTTCAACCACGCTGCCTCACATACGTGGCACAAGCAGTACTTTCTGAGTCAAATGCAGACACGCATCATTAATATGAAGATGCGATATACATGTATGCTTGGGAGGTGTGAACAGGAGAGCCCTTATTTTTCTCTCTCACTATAGTGTCTGTTCGTCTCTGCTTTATCTCTGCGCAATGATAGTACATAACAAGATGGGCCACTTCTCTCTTTGAGCCAATTAAAAAAGTGTCCTCAAAATTTGGTGGCGCCCTCTTCACAAAAGCGCACTTTGCGAACAGAGTTACCCTACTTGAGTTTTTAAAAATCAAAGTGAAACTAGCATGTTTTGGGATAAATTTCGGAAGAACGCTTTTTTAAAATGGTTACGCTGACAAAAAACCTCTTCCGGAGGAAAGGGTGATGGTTTTCTTCGTTTAATTTGACTTTAGAATGAAAGGCGAGAGGTCATTAAAATTAAAAAAAAACCTAAAACTACGCACTGAACGTACCCGAACTGCTGATGAACAGCAGTCGATCTGCGCACGCAAGGAGGTGCTATTCCTATTCTTCTTCTGGAAAAACGAAAGAGAGCTTCAAAACAGACCGCAGCGCCATCTGAAGCAAAGAGCATACTTCCTGCGGACACTTTTTTGGCTGAGTGAACCATCTTGTTATGTACTATCTTTGTCTCTGCGTAAAAAAAACCCCGCTATCATGTTGGTCTGCTTTTTTTTCACTTAATAGAAAAAATTAATTGTTCTTTGAGACATGTTGGGCTTTAAGAGACAATAAAATCACACAAACCATTCATCAGCATCGAAACAATAATTTATTCTAACAACGCCGTGAGCAAATGACACTGAGTACAACAGAAAATAAAAGAATAAAACATTCCATTTATCACACATACTGATAGGGTGTCAACAACCATTTGAAATGAAAGAATTGTGATCTCTCAACTTCAGTCCACAAAAGTTCACAACTTATTGCAGTCAGATTATAAAACTTTCTCTTTTGAAGTACAACATGTTATGGGTGTAAGTTTGGAATGTTGCATTTCAAGAAAATCGTGCAAAGACTTTTAGGGGTATAATAATAAAGAGAACTTTGCCTGTGATTATAGTTATAACATTATACACAGGCAGTTGAAGGATAGCAAATATCACAAGATAAACAAATAAAAACATTGACATATATAAGTGTAACAATCTATCAGCAGTTTGACTGTATTATGATGCACATCACTGTTGACTGCTGAATATCTTGAAAAATATATTTTGGTAAAGATACATTTATTGATAAAGCAGTTGTGGACGCCCAGTTGAAAATAAAATCAAATAACAAGAAGATCTTAAAACATGTTACTATGTTTCTGGACTTTGACGTCACTGATACATCACCGTTTTCTGTAAAACTGTTTTCTGTAACCTACTGAAGTAATACTTACTTTAAGCTTGGTCACAGGAAAACTGGAAAATGAAATAATCTCTCAGCCTCTCTGACTAGAGGGGTAGTCTACTATAGAGCATTGTGATTAAGATGTTCAGGTTGCAGTGAAAAGAAAATGTTTGGTTCCATTCTTGGCTGCCCGTGGCAGTATGCTGTGCCTTCATGAAAGATACCTATTTTCCTCCACCTGTCCAGCTCCTAATGAGTAGGTTACTAGGCACTGAGCAAAGATGGAAATTACAAGAGCAAAAGCAGTTTATGCCAGCAATCTACTATACATGCCCCAGAGACTGAAAGGGTAAAATGGAATAAACTGGCCATCCAAGGCAGCTATGCAACTGCTGGGATCTTCTTCGGAAGGGCAACAAGACTATAAACCATTTATATACTGGCAATACCCTGGATAGGACATTAAATAGAGAGGTTGATTTTATCCATATTCAGGGTACAGGAATTTTTTTCCTATTCCTTATAAAATAAAGAGAATGTAAAGCAAGAAATCTGCTAGCTGTATGACAGACATTGTGTTAAGCCATTTTCACTTATCCTTGCAGACTACTCTGATCATAGACAAGAACTTATTCTTACATGATTTAAAATTAAGATTAAAAAATGTGCCAGTAACTGGTAAATTAACTTGGCATTACCAGTCATCCCTGAATTTGAACCAGTTTCTTCACACAAACCTACCTGCAACTTGGGTTGTTGTTTTTTTTTAAAGTATACGAACTGACATACACATGGAAATTAAATACAATAAATATTTCTGTCCTGGTTTTTTTACTGGACTAAAGAAGTACATGCTTACATTGGCCCTATGCTTTTCATTATGGTGGAAAGTAAAATTTTGATTCATTAGACCTTAAAATCTTGATCGTTAAAGCATTTTAAGAGATATAGCAGTTTTTTCCCAAAGGTCAAACATCATGATTAATTATTGTCAGTCACTGAGTTCATCATTTTTTTTTTGTTTCAAAAGAAAAAAATGCAACGTCAAGCAGTCAGACAGTATTTGTGCCCTTTATTTGTTGTACTTAGAACACTTAACTGAGCAGCTGGTTAGACCTTTTATTTCTCATTTTATGGTCATCTCATCTACCTTTTTATTCTATTCACATACTAATATAAATGGGTCCTAGGTTCTCTATAGGCTTGTGATACACTGGCTCCTGACTTGTAAGAGAACATAAAGTGAGGAGATTAATAACTTTGTATGGGCAACTGGTAGAAGGCTGACTTGTCCATCTGCTTGACCTCCACCTCCTTGAAGTGGACGCTGTGCTCTCTGGTCAGGGGACGTTCGTTGGTAGAATCAGCAGCTGGAGATAAACAATGAAAAAATAATGTCAGTATTGGTTGCACAATTAAGTGTTTGATATTTTTGGCTTACAAGTTTATATATATATATATATATATATATATATATATATATAGTATATATATATATATCATCTTTCCATTTGCAGGCTGGGTGTGTTTTTGGTGTACACAGAATGTAGGCTTTTTAACATTTTAGTTTTCCACGTGTGTGCTTTTTGATTTGCACAGGTAGAGAGTGCTCTTTTCAATTTTTGTTTTGTTAATGTAGGCCTCCCAAAGACAAAATTAAGTCATTTAGGACTGTGGGCTGTGTTGGACACATTCCATCAGAAAGAACTAAACTCTCGCCCTTTGTGTGCAGAGAGCAAAATCCTTTTTCCAAAATACCAAGGCTTTTGGGTTTGTGCAGTTACTTGACATTTGGGTTGGAATAACTGCCCTTTTATTGTTGCAACAGAATTGAAGGGATTCTTTTGTCTTTGAATGTGGTATTACTGAGTTTGACTTTCTCTTGTGATTTTTTTTCAAAGTAGAGATTAAAAAAAAAGTTTTTCATGATTCCTGGCGCAAAAAGACTTTCTTCTAAATGTTTCAACTGCACATAGCATGTATAACATAGGAAGAGCATATGATTTAGAAGTAGAAGTAGAAGTGCAAAGCTACAAAAATTGATTCCCACACAAACAGTCAAGAATATTACAAAATGCAACCTGAAAACTATAATTTATTTATTTAAAAAAACAACAAAAAAACATTGTCCCCCGACCCTAATAAGTCACATCAAAGGAGATTTTTATACTGTGGGCTGGAACCGTGGTCAATACTTTGACAAGAAAGGTTGTTATGTTTACGGTAAATGTGTTATACCCTTATCAACACAATTTAGCATGTTTACGGAGACAGCTGCAGATTACCTGTCAGGAACAACATAGACCGAGCGAGATACAGCATCCGAGTTGAAAGACGGATATATATATATATATATGTATATATACACATAAGGGAGATAAATCAGCTCTTACATACAGATCATTACTATATGACATCGAAGGACGAACAACAAAGATATCACAGACAGTCAAAATGAAAATGAGCTGAACAGAAGACATAGTTAATACATATAATACAGACTGCTCCTATGCCAGGAAGGATAAGACAAATGAGTAGCACCCCACCAGTGAGGTGTTGTGCACTAACCTAATTTTGACAACATGTCCTGTTTGTACATTTTAAGTGTAGAATCTTCCAGTTTCTATGTTCAGGCATGGGACTGCTTTTTTAGACTAGAACCATTCAGAACAAACTTGTTCAAATTGCACTTTTCACGGTCAAGTACACTTCTATAATTCTTTTCAAGCGACAACTTAGATCATTTTGAAATTGGAGCACTTGATTTCTCTTAAGGATTGTTCAGATCTTGTAACTATTTTACACCATCTTTGACACAATTTAGATCATTTCAATTTAGATACTTTGACGCTGCTACTGCTAGGAACAACCCAGGCTGTGTTGGATACAGTATCCTACCAGAAAGAAAGAGCTAGTCAATAATATTAAGAATAAAATTTTCTTCAATAATAGTGCCAAAAGCAATAGCCACTACTGCAAAGTTGCTGATATCTTCCCTTAGACACGAGGAGCTGCATCATCATGTGTTTGTCGTGTTCATGAATCATTTGCCCATCAGCTGTTAGCAAATAAATAAATCAGAACAGATAATGAAAGATACCTTAAAGAGGCCAGGGGACATAAAAATTTCATTTTTCTCAAAGAAGATTGGTCAAAATGACAGAAACAAGTTGATGTTAAGTCCAACTTTATAAACGAATCTAGCTGAACTTGAACTTGACCTACGTGAAACTAGCCCATCACAAGGCAAACAAATGCGAAACAAATAAAGTTCAGTAAAGACAACCACTGGACAAGGAACAACTTTTTAAATGTCTAAAAATGAAAAGAACTTTTTAAAAGGCTATAAAATAAATGTTGGTGAATAAAAGAAAGTTAAATGCAAACAAGTTTGACAAAACACTGGAAAGTGGAAAGTACTCAGTGGGGGTAAGACACCACAGTAGTTTCCATTCTGAGGAGAGGAAAGCAAGAGAACATTTGCTGGAGTTTCACCCTTTTACATTTTGTTTTAGTAAGTGTTTTACAGCACAATCGCAACACAGTAAGGCCATATAAGTGTCGAAGATTAGGGGTGTTCCAAGAGAGTAACAAACACATAAAAAAGAAGGAGACGAAATAAGGAAGACAGGTGTTTGCTAGGAAAAAAGGAGCAAACCACATCAGAGCACCCTCCAACCATCCCCAGTTTTGCCTTTTACATTGTTTTCTTCAGACATTAACTCTTCTCACTTTCTATTTCTTACCAAGAAAAGAATGTTTCTTCAGTTGTCAGTTTGTTTCTAAACACATCAAGAGAGTTCTTTTCTTTGTGGCGTCGGTGGCCTAGTGGTTAGTCTCTCGGACTCGCAACCGTAAGGTCGTGGGTTCGAATCCCGTCAGGGGCCCGATGTTGTGTCCTTGGGAAAGGCACTTACACGAATTTTCCTCACTTCACCCAGGTGGGAATGGGTACCCGGCTACAGACAGCGAAAGATCTTGTCAGTTTGTTAGTGTTTGAGCGCTTAATCAGCTGCTTGCACTGTATGCTTCCCGGGAAGCTGAGAATGTTTCGGAGTGCTCTGTGGTCTGCTGGGGTAATAATATAGTGTAAAGCGCATAGAGCCTGCTGTTAAGCGGGGATATGCGCTATACAAATGCTATTTATTATTATTATTTGTTCATCTGAAGAGTAACTTGAACTATCACTTCACGGCTTTTACTACTACTTTAAATTCACTTAATCAACAGAAAATCAGTTACACCCCCCCCCCCCTTCCACACAAAAGACAATTTAGATAATTTTAAGAGGTGTATGTGTCTGACCTTGGCCTTACTGATCAGGGCTAACCCAGGGCTAGAGAGGATTAAACATCAGTAGATAAGGAGATATTCGATAAAACAGATTTTCTAGCGAAGGAATTGACCTCACATCTTATGCAAGCAGGGGCAGAACGCCTAACCATGACACTAAAGACACTGTTCACAAAATGTTCTCATCACAAAAGATAAAAGCCAGAAAACCACGATCATTAACATCATCATCATCAATGCCTTTCACCCCTGGCAGGGTATAGACCACATACAAGCTCCTTCCATTTATCTCTATCCTGGGCCATCCTACCTAGCTCGTTCCAAGTGAGCTTCATCTCTCTCATGCCCCTTTCCACATATCTCCTCCATGTCTCTCGTGGCCTACCCCTGCCTCGTGCTCCCTTTGGGTTCCATTGCAGTGACTGTCTTGTGATGTTTCCGCTGGGCTTTCTGAAGGTGTGTCCCATCCAACGCCACTTTCTTAGTCCTATTTCTACTTCTATGTCTTTTTGTCCTGTCCTTTCCCATAGCTCTTCATTTCTTATTCTATCCTGCCACTTAATTCTTAGGATACTCCTCATTCATCTGTTGATGAAAGTCTGGACTTTATTCAGCACTGTCTTTGTTGTCTTCCAAGTTTCGCAGCTGTAGAGGAACACAGACTTGACATTGGAATTAAATAGTCGCATCTTGGTGTGCAGTGAGATGTTTCTTGCTTTCCAGACTTTTGATAATTGCTTGAATGTTGACCTTGCCTTGGCGGTTCTTGCTTTTACGTCTGCCTCGGTTCCACCTTTACCATCGGTGACACTTCCAAAGTAGGTAAAGGAGTCCACTTCTTCTAGGGGATTGTCTTCCACTGTCAAAGCAGGGCTAGACACTTTTCCTAGCTTGACTATTTTCGACTTGCCCGCGTGTATACGTAGGCCAACACTCCTTGATAGGCTGTTGAGTTCCTTGGTCTTTTCTTGCATCTTAGCATGTGTGTGAGAGAGCAGTGCAAGGTCATCGGCGAAGTCCAAGTTGTCCAGCTGCTGCAAAGTGATCCACTGTATTCCATTTCGTTTGCCTCTGGTGGCTTTCTTCATGATCCAGTCAATTGCAAGCATGAAGTGAAAAGGAGAGAGCAGGCATCCTTGTTGCACTCCTGTCTGTACCTGGAATGGTTCTGAGAGCTGTCCTTCATGGAAGACTAGGCAGTTTGTTCCATCATAGGATGTCTTCACAAGCTTGACGATTTTGTAAGGTATTCCATAATGGCGCATGAGTTTCCACAGAGTTTCCCTGTCCACGCTGTCAAATGCTTTTTCCTAATCAATGAAGTTGACCACTAGTGGTGAATTCCATTCAAGCAATTCCTCCACAATGATGTGCAGGGTAGCGATCTGGTCCACACATGATCGGTTTTTGCGGAATCCTGCCTGGTTTCCTCTGAGCTTCTCATCTGTAGCCAGCTTGATTCTCTCCAGGAGTATCCTGTTAAAGACTTTCCCAGGTGTGGACAGGAATGTTATGCCTCTGTAGTTGTTACAATTGCTGAGGTCTCCTTTCTTTGGCGGCTTGATAAGGTGGCCTTCCTTCCAGTCTGACAGTATTTCCTCTTCTTGCCAAACCTTTTTGAATAGAGCATAGAGTATTTCCACAGATGTATCTTTATCTGCCTTAAGGGCTTCCGGTGCTATATGGTCGGGACCAGCTGCCTTGTGGGACTTCAGTGCTTTTATTGATTTTATAGCTGCAGCAATTTCCTCTCTCGAAAGTGGTTCCGTAGCGATTGGGAGGTCATTTCTGGCTGTAAGAATTTCTGGTTGGTTTTCTGGAGGTGGTCTGTTCAATAGTTGATCAAAGTGTTCTCTCCATCGGTTCAGTTGCCCCTCTCAGTTGAAGATAGTCTTTCCCTCTTTGTCTTTCACTAGTAGAGTGGGCTTGCTGAACCTACCTGAAAGAGTCTTTGTTGTCTGATGTTCAATCTGCAAGTGCCCGTCTGTTGCTGCTTTCTCTGCCTTTTCGGCCAGGCCATTCAGGTAGGTATTCTTGTCCTTCTAGATGGAATTCTTTACTTCCTGGTTTGCTTCGGTGTACTCGTGTTGTGCAGCGAATTTCTCAGTTCGGGTACGGCAGTTGTTGACTTGGGCCTTCAGCTCTCTTCTTCTTTTAATTTTGTCTAGAGAGTCCTGTGAAATCTATTCATTCCTGGTGTTGACTTTGGGTCCAAGGATGCTCTGGCAGGTTGCATTTATTGCCTCTTTTATCTTATCCCAGTGTTCGTTTACTTCACAGTCATTCAGATCTTGAAGGGCTTGAAATCTGTTCTTCAGTTCCAACTTGAATTCTTTCTTCTTTACTAGATCTTTCAGAAGGCTCACTTCATACTTTTGGCGACTTCCAGTTTTGATTTGTGCATACCTTCTCAGTTTCAGTTTCATGGTGGTCTGATGCGACGTCTGCTCCTCGTAAGACTCAGACGTCCTCCAGTGAGCCTCTAAACTTTCGGGAAATGCAAAAATGGTCAATCTGGTTTTCCGTTGTTCCATCCGGGGAGACCCAAGTGGCCTTATGAATTCTTTTATGTGGGAAGATTGTTCCTGCAATAACAAAGTTGTTGAAAGCACAGAAGTTTGGGAATCTTTCTCCGTTGTCATTTGATTCTCCTAATCCATGTCTGACCATGATTTTCTCACAGTGACGATTGTCCGAACCAACCTTTGCATTTAGGTTTTCCCATGACAATGTTGATGTCCTTACCTGGAAGTTTGTCGATCACACTCTGCAGGCGGTTGTAGAAGTCATCTTTATTCTCCACTTCTGCATCATTGGTTGGGGCATACACTTGTATGATGTTCATGTTTATGACCTTCTTCTTACCACTTCTTTCCTTGAGTTCTTTTTTAGTTCCAAATGAGGCCATGATGATTCTTGGACCGTGCGCTTCCCAGCCCCTAAATGTCTTTTGCGCTGTTTTGGCTATGATCATCCCTACTCCTTCCCTGTGTGGTCCATCACTGTTATTTCCTGAATAAAAGAAAAGCTCCCCCTCTTTCATTCGCTTCTGTCCAGACTGGTTCAAGTGGGTCTCGCTGATTCCCAGTATGAGTAGGTGGTATCAGTGCATTTCTTGGAGGATCTGTACAGTTTTTCCAGCCTCATAAAGGGTCCTAACGTTCCACAATCCAATCCGGAGAGACTTGGACTTGGATGATGGTGGAGACTTCTGCCCAGCAGCTTCCTTTTGGTTTTCACTGATTCGCATCATAAACTCTCCTCAGAGAACATCTACCTCTCTCGTAAAAAGAACTTGTTACAGAAACATGTACAAACGATCATTAACAGTTGCAACCAAATTTTGTTCCAAAGAAAAAAGGGAAAGAGATTATGATATTTTACAATTTGGAAATCTCCTTTCTTTATATTCTACAAGGTGCTGACTTCAAGTTATATTATACTCAACAAATTGAATCATGAAATGCGATCAGTGATTAGCCTGAAGTAGCTTTGTGGAGAATTCAACTGTCATAGTGACTGCCACATTATATACACATGTATATTAAAATCTCAAGTCATGATCTGGCTTCCAAGCACTCACCAACTCAAAATATAGACATGAGCTTAATAAAAAGGATGTATGTTATTGAAACAAGAAATGTTTGTAATAAATCAAGAAGAAAAGACTTTTCAATTAAAGTGTATGAAATTAGACAAAACCGATTGAGCGTTTTCATCTACAGTGATGCTATCAATAATGAGAGTGATGACAGAAAAGATGGTGACAATGATGATGATGACGTTTCTTTTTTTTTGTATCATGTTCCTGATGAAGCACTTTACCAGGCAAAACGTTGAACCTGTATTAAATTTTTTAATTCTACAAGTCTCAACCCTTTTTTATTCCCTGCTATTTACAATGATGATGATGATGAAGATGATGATGATGACGAGAGCATGGTATGAATGGAGACTCTTGGTAGAAGAAAAACTGCTGATCCTATCAGAGGTGGATGTCAAAAACCCAAATCTACAAAGCAAGATATTCGTAGCATCTGTAAATCCAGTTTGCATAGGAGGGGCATAATTCACATACAATTTCGACTCAACAGTCAAACTTGATTCATCTCCCTTGCTGTAGACTGAAATTTGTTCGTAGCAGTATGCTTACATAACAAAAAGACTTCCGCTCTTCACTGATTTCACTTTGTGCATGCTAGACTGTAGTAAGATGCGTAGAAGGACAGATAGGTAATTTGCACTTTTCTTTTCACCCTCTTTCTAGTTGGAAACAGCCTGTTCATTTATCTGAGAGACTCTCATAATATGAATGGTTTGTATGAAACTTTTGAAATAAAGCCTATTTTGGGAAGAGATCATTGAAAAACCCATAACAATCAACTAATCCAGCACAGACACACTAAATACAAATTTTCATAGAGTTCGACACATTCTTAAGATGTAAAAATAAACGTTATACATTCATTCATTCATTCATTCATTCATTCATTCATTCATTCATTCATTCATTCATTCAGGCTTAAAATCAATGCCAATAACCTTTGAAAGATTCATTTAATAATACATGATTACTTGTTCCCCCTGGTTTGCTTTGTTAATATTATGTTGAAAACACTTGACACTTACGAAGCTCAGAGGGCACGTCTGTCGTATTGGTCAGGTGACTCTGCTCTGACTGAAGTTTCTGGGGGGGTTCTGGGCGTCGGACACAGCGGTCTCCAAGAGTAGGCTTAATCCCAAATCTATCAGGATCCTCCACTCGCTCTTGTCGACGATGATCAATATGATCATTGATGATTTTCTGAGACTGTAACCAAAGATAAAACAAGAACTGATGAAGCATAATCACAAACTACAACACTATCAAAAGCCTAAGAAAGTTTACAACCTTCTTCACACGAAAACAATCAAAAAAAGCAGGCTGAAAAAGTTCTTTTACAAAGTCTTCTGTAATCATTTAATAACAGTGCAGCTCTTTAAAAATACATGTTTACCATCTGAAGGAAAGAATATGTGCATGCATCTTAATATCCCTTGAGTCATGATCATCTAAAGAAACTGTGCGAGCCTCTGCTTCCACAGCCAATCCTGAAAATTTGGAGCAAAAATTACGAAAGGTTATATTTCTCTCTGTACCATAAGCTCCTATTTTATTTCTCACCCCAAAGCACCACAGCAACTCAGTTATCATCTTCCTATAAAACTGACATGTTCTAAAAAGTTATCATAGCACAAACTAGATTCTCCTCCTGTTTAGTTAACTGTAGAATGAGAAGGCTTCACGTAGGTTCATTCTCTTCTCCATTGATATCACAATGGTCACATTTACTCTTTCCATTCTCTGTTTTTACCCGCATCAGATTCATTTGGTATTCTATTTTGAGACTGCAATGATCTAACAATAGAATACACTGGCATAACAAACAGTTGAACATAGAAGAGAGTTAAAATGTTTAATTGCTTTCTGCTTGTAAGTGCAAGCAAAATTTTCCTTCAAGATCAACTTCTAACCATAAGATAATCATAGCAGTAAACTCATTACTTCAACAAAAAACCCAATTTACATAGATGTCATTGATATGGTAGGAAATGGCCGTGGGTTTGCACATAGTACACAGACACTTTGCATATAATTAACAGAGAGCATCGCCATTGACATGAGAGGAGTATCATATTCTCATGGTTCAGCAGGCAGGTAAACTTAATTAGAATTCATAACAGAGAGAAAAAGTGATGATATCAGCGAAAATTGCCAAGTGCCTAGCACGTTGTAAAAATTTAAAATCAATACTGACCGTCAGAGTATTACAAAAATTTAGCACCATGCCTGTGAGTGTAGGAGTAAGTTTATACCTGTCAGAAAGTGGCAGACCTTTGAGCAAGCCAGACAGTTTGACAAAGTCAGCCTATATCTTTTAGGAACATGCCAAAGTTGTGAAACGGAGAAGATGGTAAGTGCAGCATTTATGATTTTAATAGGAGCTACAACTTGTGGAATTTTGCTTCAGCCAGGAAAAAGAAAAGTATGCATGCTTACGCTGTACAAATGTATTTTTGGCAGCATTTACATTTGGCTGTATTTATCCTCGGAGATTTTTGTTTTGAAATGAAATTTAGGAATCTGACCATTTTGATTTTTTTAAAAACAAGCTAAAAAAGGTAGGAGAGAATAAGGAGATTTTTTCAATCCAGATTATATGCATAAAGATAAACTACAAGTCACCTTGCACAACCCTCTAATTCAAAGTCTTCAGAGACGGAAAAGAGAGGAAAATACTGTTCTAAGTTTCACGGAGTGTATAATCCTGAGATCATTGTGCAATTCAAACAAAGAAAAGAATAAAAGCAATCAGTAATACCAATTGGATCTCTGGTGGAACAATTGATAAAGTTTCCAAAAATAAGGAGAGACTCTTTCGGGTATGATCTCAGTATATGAATAGTGCATGTATAATTGTGTGTATATTTTCATATTGAACACTTGAAAGCAGAAGCATGCAAGGAAAGAGAGGTGTGACCCATTTTATAGCAATGTATAAAAATCTGCAATTTCTGGAAACACAAAGAGGCAACCTTAATAACCTCAGAAAATGTTCCTTGTCAGATGAGTAAAATTTGCACTCAGAGGAGAGAACCAATTGACTGCCCTATTTTTTATGAAAATCCTGTCAGTATTTTATAGGGATGACTGAATATATTGTTCAGCCGGTACTTGCAAAGCACATGTTCATGCTAAAATGAAGTGTATTACACAATCTTGATTTGAAATAATCGAAATAATCATTTTCCACAGTTATTATCTTAAAAGATCTCTTTCATAAATGTGTAAAGAATTTATATATTTCTTGATACTTCTAATTCTTTTATGTTTTCTTAACTGTTAACAAAGTGGCACAGACAACACGTATGTCAAAATAATAATCATTTTCAAAAGAGCCTGGCAAATCAAAGGGAAAGTGTAGTCTTAATATTGTGCAACATGCATTCTAGAGAAAATGTTGAATTGGTATATATACATAAAATGTAGATTTAAAAAGTTGAAAACAAGCAGTAAAGCAAAGGAACAGTTGATTTCACATATAACTGTTCATGCTTACATACAGAAAGAAAATAAATAAGTTGTCATAAATATAGATATCTATAAAAAGCAATCTGCTGCAAATCTAAAATGCATGAATAATAAGCCAGATGCTGTGAAATCGAAGAAAATAGTAAAGGATATAAAATATATGAAAAAATGCAAGTTTTCGCAAGAAAAGGTAACTTTTGCCCACGTAAATGAATCAGTAAAGTGAAAGAGAATCTAAACTTACAACTTACTTAGACTGTTTAGCAGTAATGCAACACTTACAAAGCCCAAAATACCAAATTTAATTTTCTGTAAAACAGATATCCTATGCAAAGTTATTCACTACCCTTCATCACACCCCATCCCCCCTCCCCCAACCCCAATGCCCTCATCCCAACCGCCTCCCCCCAACCGGAAACTTAAAAACTTGAAAAAGGAAACGAGAGAAAATTTTTAAAAATTGACAATAAAATTATAGTCCTAAACAACAATGCTGCAGTAAAAATCATTTTCATATGTCGAACTACTCCCACATCATCATACTTTGAATCATATTCTCTATATCAAATATGAAGTTATACAAAAATACCTCTTGTTCCCCCACCCACCCTCCTTCCCCACAAACACAAACACATACGCACATACACATATGTACACACACACATACACACACACACACACACATACATGCACACACACACACACACACACAC